ATGATTAGCGAAAGACCGACAGAATTTGAATATCGTAGAACACCAACAGGTGATACGAAAATGACCGGACCCAACAATAATACCGAATATGATGCTGACGGCTTGTAGTACGCCGATGTCCTTCGACATTTTCACCACCGACCTCTTGCCTCCATTAGCAGAGTCCGGAACTCCAAGCTCGCCAGAAACGCTACCCATTGTCAAATTCTACCAACTGACGCATGGTACGCTAACACTAATTTATAATCGTACTTGTTTTTGTGATTTCGAATGGCCGAGCTAAACAAAGTTGGCATTTATTTTTCGAAAAATGTCTTATTTGCAACTAAATAAAAATTTATTCCTGCATTAGTTATTTTTTGTATGCTGGGTATAGGTGCAGCTACCTCAACAATTGAAAATATATTCCTGAACAAAAAACTGTGAAGTAAACTACATATTTTATTTTTCGGCAAGAATTTTACACATATCCAGTAGGAGCACTCAAGAAGCTGCTACGTTAAGGTTAAGAAGCGTTAGGATAATTGTCAATTTGGTCAACTGTTTGCTCAGTTTCTCCAGCATATCATGTAGCGCACCAAGGCTTACCTGAAGACGAAAAGAAGACACAATACTGGGGCAGAATAGCTATATTTAGCACAACGGAGGTGTCAGGGCGACTGGCATGGCCCGACGGCTAGCCTACCCCGCAAGATATAAGAAGGCTAATTCAAAATACAAAAGTAGCGCCTCACCAAAACCTGAGGGATAAACCACCATCGTATTACATATCAACCTTCTCAGATTCCAACCCCACTTCTGTTTTCAAGATATGTGCAAAACTTTGCTCTTAAAATCTCCTGTGTCAACTTTGTTGGCAATTTTAAAACAGCCGACCCATAGTGGGTATCCTCGTGTCAGTCTTAGGCACAGAGAATTTCAGAAACCTATATAGAGATACCGTTTTACGTAGCAGATGTTAAAGTAGAAAGTTAGCAACTGTACAACAGTGTTTAGCAGTAAAACTGAGAAACTGTTTGCTAGGACACAAACACCAAGATGCTCACAGTCGAACAAAAATTTTTAGAATAAACTAATAAAGCCGAATCTCTCATAATACTTGTTATGATTCGTCGTGAGGCCGAAAAGTCAAAATGGTGCATGTAAATAGAATTAAAATAAATTTGGACAATCAGTGTAAACGATTTGACAACTTGTTGTACAAAAATCAAGATTTATGAATCACCCCTCCACCTGGAATGGGGAACATACTATCCGGTGGTTAGTTTACCCAAGTACTAAGAGTCTCGTTATAGACACTGGTTAGAAACACAGGCCAGTGTACAATGCAAGTCCAACTGCATTTGATCTCCACACCAAACAGAAATGATGAGGTCTCGAAAGGCGCGGTCAGTACTGACCACCAAAGACAACCAGCCGGTGAACCGAATTGAAGTGCCTGCCATTGTCGAAACTGAGAGAAGTATATGCGAATTACCAAAACCATGTTGGCCGGAATAAAAGTCAAATTACAAACATGAGACCATAAATACAGCCCCTTCTTCCTTCCAAAAACCGAGACAGTGACGAAAACAGGTAGGAGCATTAGAATTCAGTGCATTGCACAATTTACCAACACCAAAAAAACCAACGGGATGTTTCGTGTTGTTTAGTACCAGCTGTCTCCTCTTCACAGCACTTTCTGCCACTAACAACTTGAGTGGACATTCACACCTGAGCAACAGTTGCCTCTATGCTCCCCTTCTA